GGAACAAGACTAATTTAAAAGCCAAATGTTTTTGTTGCACTGTTCAAAGTTTTGTAGTTCCATATATTTGAGTTCTGAAATTTTAACAATACATCGTACACAGGAACTGAATCGGTTAATAATTGAACAAGACCCCATAAATTGGCGTGACTTTATCAAGTTAATTCATCAATTACGTCTGATATTGCAATCGTTATTTTTTTCTGATAGATCTGGCAGGTTTAGGTTTTAAAATGAGGTTATCAGTATTGAGCTGATTATCCTTTCATCATTAACTAAATTGTCAACATCAGAACGTGTTTGGTTTCGATTGTCCAAACGCTTTAAACCGTCTTATTTGTTTTCGGTTAGAAATACTAATTTAAAAAAAGATCTTTTGTAAACCGTTTTGTCAATTAAAACTCTGTTGTGTTGATCATACTTTCACCCTTAACTCAATCCCCAACATCACAACGTATTTGTTTTCTACCCCGAGTTTTAGAAGAAAGAATTAGTTAAATTTACTCAGATTTATCCAGCATTATGATCCACAATTGCTTTCTAATCCTTCTATTATTTTTGTTGGTATAACAATCAATCATTCACCGACAGCGCTGAAACTGATCTGAACTAATTGTATATGTACCAAGAAGGCTGTTAATTATATCACATTGCTAGGCTGTTATAGTAATCACACGATATTATCAAATACAACGAATGATATAATCATATCTTTTGGCACTTTCCTCTAAAACATTAGAACCTAGAACTAGACGATCTTCATGCTAACTTTCCTCTAGAACCAGAGAACCTAGAACTGGACGATTGTCGTCTTCACTCTCGATATCAAACAATGATTGCACCTTTTATTTAGATGGCCAACACTGACTAAATAGTTTCCACTTGCTGTGTTTATCTTACAATAGAGTTTTATTTGCTAGATCAGAGGGGTGGATGGCCGAATGGTTAGCGGGTGTGCGTTGTATCATAAGGTCTGTCATTGAGTCAAATAAATACTGTTTAAACCGTACGTGTAACTCAACGCCCATCCTCATTAGCCTACTTGGTGCAAGGGCATGCAATCTGTTTTTCTCTAACTCCCTGGTAGGCTATGGGGGAAATATTGCCCAGACAGTGGCGTTACGGCCTTCAATTACATCGAATTCCATCCACGCCAATGTGTACACAGGACCCCGATCTTTTGTCCCATCCCAACGACTAGACAGTTGTCCTTGTCGGGCCCTCTATCCTGCACCACTGACAATGGGAAACCATACCGGAAAATTCCGATAAACTATCTCGTCGAACACCTGGAGCGAATCCGCGGCCTCTAGGCTTTGGGAGCGCCCGTCTTATTCACTTAACCACCGTAGCTCCGACAAGTGCACGGAAACCAGACACCTGGAGCGAATCCGCGGCCTCTAGGCTAGGACGCGAGCGTCTTATACGCTTAACCACCGTGGCTCCGACAAGTGCACGGAAACCAGACACTGGATACTTATCTTTGTATGAAATCCTATTAATCAACAGCACCATTTCCCGTTGCAATAAAAGAGGTAATTAGTTAATCCCAGCGGAAACCTAACATGGACATTTCTAGCCATAAACCAAATATTGAAACAACCTTAGTAAAATATGTAAAATGAATGGGAGTCAATGTTCTGTTGTTCTCACAGCTTATAATTTAGATGATGAATATTAGAAAATTGTAGTGCCTGGTTAATTCCAGAATGATTTCCTCTGCTTTGTGAAAGGGACACTGGCGAACGTTTTGTTGGGAATTCATCTTGAAGGCAAGCTATTTCCAGAATGATTGCTTTCAGAGAGAGAGAGAGAGAGGGGGGGGGGGAGACTAACATATGGTTCAATTTTATTTAAACAAATCGCTTGCGCGTAGCGGGTTTTAAGAGAGGGGGTGGGAACCGGAAGACCAGTAGAAAACCTACGAGGTTGGTCAGGCGACCCCACTCCTTGTCCCCTAACGCAGAAGCGGGGATTCGAAACCACGCCACTTGACCTTATGATTTCACACACGCGTTAAACCACTAGACCACCACCACCCAACCCCCACCCCCTTACTTTGTGAAAAGGGCGCTGGTGAACGTTTTATTTGAAATTCACTTAGGTGGTTGGCTTATTTCGGACTTATTGGCTTTAATTTGTGAAAGGTACCTCCTCAACCAAAATTGTTGCAGCCTGGCTCTGTATTTATAAAATGTACACTAGATACACTTGGCAAACCTCGGCAGTCTCTAGTACCCTACAAATAGCCACAGCTGTATGAAGAATTCCGCCATTGGAACTACTTTCAAGTTCCCGGATTACAAATAGCGTCGCCCAGGAAGACGCCTGTGAAGAGTGTTTTATCATACAAAGCTTTCAAAGTCTAAAGCTGTTTTTCTTCCAAGTTTATCCGATTTTCTTTAAACGAAGGACAAATTTCGAATGAAAATTCTCCACACTCTTTGAAATTCTTCTAAAAGCGACACGTTGTCCAAATAAGTAAACCGGTAGCCGCATCACAATTGTATAGATGTAGGTACATATCACTTACCGTCCTACAGCCGAGGCTAGATATGGTGTACCGGAATCTGCCGATGTTTGCCGAGTGATCTAGATACACCTTCCGCTGGTAACTCATTCACTTAAGGGCCGGTCACACAGGCTTCCGCGAGTTGATCACGAGTGTATCGCGAGGAAGAACTGTCAAACGCGAAGTAAGCGCGGTCACAAGTGAATGACACGTGAATGAAACGTGGTGGACTCGCGAATAACAAGTGCGCACACGCGCGAAAAATTTTACACGCGCACGGAGTCCGATTTTATTTTTGAGCAGCACAAAAATTCGGCGCAACGGCCACCGCGTGTCGCACACGTGGTGTAAACGCTGTACAAACGCGGGCCAAACGCGATAACACGTGGTACACTCGCGGATCACAAGTGGACGACAAGTGGTCACTCGCGGGCAAACGCAAAATTTCTTCGTGTGACTGCGTGTGTAGCACTTGTCATCCACTTGTGATCCGCGTGTCTACAGCGTTCCTACCACCTGTGATAGCGTGTGCTCCACGTGTAAAAGGCTTCCTCAGGGATTGTGTCACGAGTCATCCGCGGGCCATTCGCGTGTTTTCGCGTTGAATCGCGATTGAACCACGACTGATTCGCGTGTCGTCCACGACCCAATCTCGTTTGTACCACTAGTTATTTCTGCTATAAAAAGATCGCGTGTGGGCCATTTTTCATCAGTTGTGATCAAGAACACCGGACGCGGCGGCTTTTATACACGCGGGCGGCAAGCGGAGCACAAGTGATCGGCACGTGATTCACACGCGGAGCACATGTGGAGCACAAGTGATACACACGCGCTGCGTGTGACCCCATTTTCTGACCACAAGCGCTCACACACGGAGGACTCGTGGTGGACACGCGATGCACACGCGCGCGTGTGGTCCACTTGTCATTCGCGTGTCCAGCATGTCTGAGACAAATTGGTTGATTTTCACCGCGTGTAGAAAAAATTTGCAAAATTTATAGCAAAATTACACGTGATCAACTCGCGGAAGCCTGTGTGACCGGCCCATAAGTAATAGTCATAAATATGACTAGTTTAATTTATACCATGACAGAAATAATCCCCAGACAGATTTTACCAGAATTTATTCTGTCCACCCTTGCCTTTTTACGAGTTTTATTTCAGATACTAGAGCTATAAAAAGCCAGCAAATATTGAAAGAAATAACAACCCGATCATAAAACTAAAATCCAGAAAGTTTCCGTTACTATTCTTTTTGTGCACGTGATCATTAAAATAGTTTAATTGTTATTGATGTCTACAGGAAAAGCAAACGACCTCTGTCGGAATAAACCAAAATTGCCATAAATAAACCCTTTCGGTTAATGTCTTTTTTTGGTATTCAGCAATTTGAAAGAGTCTGAAGGGAACTATTGAATACATAGCATTTAAATAAGTGAGAAATGGTACCACTATGTCAATGTCGTCTACAGCTTTCTCTAAAGAGATCCGTGAATGGTTCGAATGATTTCTTGTGGTCTTATTTTCAAAGAATTCATTCAGTTATTATGAACTGAACTGTTTCAAGATGATAAAATATACAATATGTCTGTCTTGTAAAACAAGACTATCGTCGTCAGTCAGATTAATCAGTCGTATTGGAGAACCCTTAATCAGAGAACCAAGCCCGTAGCTAGCTGGGGGGGGGGGGGCAACAGGGACAGCTGCCTCCCCTGGAAAAAAAATCGGAAAACCCAATGGTGCCTTTGACCTTTCCATTGGACGCAATACGAAGCCAACGACCCATGTGCCCCCCCTTCCCCAGCTAGCTATGGGCTATAGGGCTGTGGACTAAAATGTTTAGGTCAAAGGGATCAATCAACCCGTAGTGATTCGCATTTAAGGGAGGCTTTCAGACCCAAGAACTTGCTCCGTTCTCTGTTTATATTTGAGTTCATTCCGATATGCCGTTAAAACGCTTATATATAAAAACAACTTCTTGAAGACAAAACAATTGGGATTTTAATTGAGGTTTCTTTTACCCGCTTTTGTTTTCAGGGGACAATGACGGAGCTTAATATAATCGACGATTGCGACAGGTAGATTAATCTCCCGCAATAAAACCCCAAGTGGTCACAATAAACACGCAATGTCAGACCTACAATCTCAAGGTCAAGAAGGTTAAGCTTTATTGGCGCGTAAGATACAAAATTATTTGATTGATCACAGACTTATTTGATTGATAACAGACTTAACCTGAATAATTTTATTTAAACACATGACTTTGCATTTGGACTTATGTGTGTCAGAATATGTTGTTTTGTATTTAAATAAGGAGATTGAATTGAGAAAAAAGCAGAAAGTAAAACTCTCTAAATTTCAATCATTACACCGGAGGTGGTTGGCGTAAAATGACTTCTGTATATTGGGGCTATTTAGACATTGGTGCACCAGATCCCTATCCCTTGAATGTCAAACTACAATGTAAACTTTATTTTTCTGTTTTCAGTGAGAGACGGTTATGGTTGTTACCATTATAGAACAAAATCATCTCAAGATTCCGTGAAAAAATATATGTGTATAACAGCCAGTGACGATAAATCTACTACCACAGGTAAGTTTATCATATAATAAACCCGAAACTTAAAGAAATGGCCCTAACACTGAGCCTTGTGGTACACCACAAGCGTTGGTAACAACTTTGACCGGGAAGCTTAATTATGAAGGGGATTATCTAGCTTTGCGTCAAGTTATATACCATGATATATCAGACGGGGGTGTTAACTTTCCCCAACAGACTTTAAATATGGGATTTTCAAAAATGTTGTAGCATGTAAACCACCTTTGAAATGCGGCATGCAATATTTTCTAACGTAGCGGTTGTGTCATCATTTGAAAAGAAAAACAATGTTCAATCTTGGCATGCTGAAAAAAAATATTACTTATTAGAATTTTCAACATCACAACAGAATTGTACAAAGCTCGGTGTTTCTGAACGGCGAAGCTTAAAAATTGTTCTAATTATCTGGTAGCCAAAATTGAGTTCATTAACATTAGGTCAATTGACTAGTAAACAATGGATACTATTAGAGTAGGTTGGGTGGAGATAAATATGTTTATTCAACATGTATTAGGATAATGGCTTCTTGATAACCATTACAAACTGCACAAAGACTGGGTCATGGGGTTAGTCTAACGCGACAATTTACTTCATACGGTTTTTAATCAATTAACGTGTCGCGAGACCCCTCTCCTGTTATAAAGGTTTATTCCCCTAACGCCGATTCATCGAGTTTTAGGGAAAAAATTTGGTCGGTGTTAAGGGGTCGACTGGCCAAGAACAATAGACCCAAGCTGGGGGATAAAACTAATTAAGCCGATAATTTTGGGAGCATTTATTTTTTACAAAAATTTATAACAATCTTTAACACATAACATTACAAATAATTTTAACTTTTGGCACGCATAAAATGTCCAACATAGTCCCAAAATTCTAACAAATTCAATCCTCCTTTTGCATCTTCGATCTTTCTGTTGATATCTGTGTATTTTTTCCTTTTAGGTGGTTGTCGCTGGCCACTCCAATACTGCAACAACTGAATTTCGATCGTCTTTTGCTCTTCTTTCAAAAATGCCATCACTTCAAAAATATTCGGATGAGCTTTTCCAATTAAAATTTTTTTAGACGCCCGTGCCACCCCTCTAAAGAATTGTTGGTTCTTCGCGTGGTTTGGTTGTGGTTCCATTGTACTTGAGTAAATTGACCGTCTAACCATTGGGTAACCATATAGTCGGCCAGTTGTTGAAATTTCTCATTATCTGGTACCTCGGCCATTATTTGGATTCATGCGTCATCAATCTGCAAATAAAAGAAAGATACATATAAATTATCTATATTTACAAGATTACGATGTAGAATATGATATTAATCGGTGTATTGTGCATTGATTAAAAATATTCTTACCTGAAAAATGGAAGGTTGAAGGTTGAATCCGTTTTCACTTGCCACTTGCTTCAAGAGACCAAAAGCTCTCCGGTATGTCGACTCTCTGTTGTCAGGTAAAAAGAAAATTACCAATGGAACAGGACGATCTTGGATCAGTGCGTGGATGGCGTATAGTTGTTAAAAAATTCGTGGGCATATATAAAATGTTCCATCGCCAAAAAGTACATTCGCGTCACACAAAGATTCAAGATTCTGTCTTGTGGTAAATCCGAAAATTTTCTCATCGTCACCATCATTGATGAATAAAAACTGTTCTCCGCTATCTGTCTGTTGAAAAAGGTCGGGCACAACAATGTCACGTCGATGTTTAGATAATTAGGGAAATTTCTTATTCCTGGCTCTATATAGGGTGCTCTTCTTGGAGTAAAATGTTGGCGATGGTGGTTCTATTGTCGTCTGTTCATTCACCATTCCGTTTACCGTTTATTTCTTCTTGGTAAAGTTGTGTAATCGGATTTGTCGTAGATTGGACCTTTTCCTTTAAGCACTGCATCATTTCTGTGATCTATAAAAAAATAAGATTTATTTTATAATAACAATGAATAAATAGTAGAATATAAAATTAGAAGCTTACGACAGAAATTAAAAAAAAATCAGAATTCAAGTGTAATTTTAAAGATGCTTTTTATAACACAGTAACTTACTTGTATATCGGATAGGCTGTTGGGTGGTTGTGGTCGACGTCTATTCTGCTAACTATATCGTTAATGGTAGATGCTGTAGCCCTACATCCCTTGCTCTTTTCGCAGCACTGCCATATAACTAAGTCGTTATTCTTTCTCTTATTCAGTCTATACTTAAAACCAACAACACATAGGTAACTGCCACCTCTTGCTGTAGGAAGAAACTTAGATTGTAACTGTGCATTAGCCATCGTAGAAAGAAATGTATATGAAATGTCTTGGGATTATTTACGTATTTATACTTATTTTGAGAAATAATCACAATGAACTGAATTTCGATCACTTGTCAGCTTCTTGTTGAACTGTCGTATATTATTTTATTAATTAATGAGTGAGTTGAATTTAAGTGAACTATATTAATAATCTGAACAAAGTAAAGTAAACTATAGATTAAGAAAACTATAGTTAGTGAGTTGAATTTAAGTGAACTATATTAATAATGACTGGTCCGTACCTCATTAACGCCTTTAATCCGTTCTTAACCCATCAAAGAGTGCCGCGGTCGACTTTCCAAACTCTGGTGAGTCGGCGTTATGGGAAGACACCGTTATAAACGTAACGACATAGGGACACATGATTAACACCATGGACATTCTCCGGTCTCCGTAACATAATAGACAGAAGGATATAATATACACAGGGTCCCTGGCGCACTTAAGTAAATGGAGACCCCTGCCTCCACCCCTCCTTCCTAAAATAGGTTTTGTTTATACTGTTTTCAATGTCGAAGACTGTGAATGATATTGAGTTAAAGACTTGCCGCCTTTAAATTCTCTCTATATACTTGGTTACTTTAAAGTAAATAAATAAATCTAATTGAAATGATGTTGAGGATGTATATCATCATACAAATAATGTAACTAACAGTGATACATCAAATATTTCATTTATTTTCGTTCATGTCGAAATCTGATATGAAATAAACAAGTTATCGCTTCAATAACTTTGTTTTAAACCTTTGTTCAAAAATAAATTATCTGAATTGAATTGATATTACAGATGAAAGATCTTGTTTTCCCTTTGTCGTATAAACTCATTAATGTAGCTACAGCTCGACAAGATTGTACAACACTTTCCTCAAATAAACGGAAAATCATAGATCTACCTTCAAAAGTATCATCATCTAGTTTTTCCCCTGAGATGTTTTTTTTTATTTCTTCTAATTGGTGTAATCTTTTACGGTAAGAATTAACGCGTGTTTAACTTCATCAAAATAAAAAAAAAGATGAGACTTTTAATAGGTTTTGTAACTAAACTATTTTTATTCGTCTAATTTGTAAAATGTTTTATGGCTGAAATTAATCTAGTTCTATTAAAGCTACTTGTTTTAACTGAACATGATTTCGTACTTTAGTTTCGTATTTATAGCCTCTGTTCTCGCTTCTATGGCTTTACTCTAAATTCAATGGACACGTTTCGTACTTTGATTGACGTGATCTAGAATCTCATAAACCGTCTCCAGTTGAGTAGAAAATACGGAAGCAGTGTTTGAAGTTGGTCAATTGTGACATATTAAATCTTGTTTTCTGGATGAAGTCACCAAATAAGCTTTTTACCCATTTTGTGAGTTCCTGGAAGAATTTCGTGGAAATGCCAACGTTCAGAATATTTTGTAGAAATTGCAAGTGTTTCTTTCAGACAGTGACAAACTGCTTTCCTCTAATTTTATTTTCTCCTGCCATTTTATGCCTGCAGCGGTAAGAGTACATCTGCTATTTCAATGAATTCAAGTATTATTGTAAACAAGACTAACTTTAACTTCTTTCTTCAGAAATGTAAATTAAAGTTGACTCCAAAAATGTCATTGAGTAGATTTATTGTATAACGTGTAGGCGGCTTGGGGTTGGATGGCCGAATGGTTAGCACGTGCGCGCTGTATCATAAGGTCTGCTGGCGTGGTTTCGATTCCCCGGTTGTACGTGACAAGGCGTAGGATTGCATGTCCAACCACGTGGGTTTTCTCTGGATCCTCTGGTTTCCTCCCACTGCTAAAGACCAATACGCGCAAGCGAAGTGTTAAATAAAATTGAACCCGATAGGACCTAGTTTGTGTCGAGTGGACGTTACCCCCCCCCCTCTCTCTCTCTCTCTCTTAAGAAAAAGTTATGGCGCATTACATCCATTTTACTTTGAGGCCTAAAAGAGCCGCGATAAACAAAACGACTTGTGGAAATATCCTACTCAAAGCTTCGGGGGCCACAGCGGATCGGTGGCTCACAAACCAATAGGTTACATTTTCGATAGCGGTGCTTGGAGACGACGTTTCCCTATGTCTAATGTGTAGGCCAGATGGATTGGCAAAGAACTGCGCCTAGCCGCTTGGATGGTATGAAAAACCAAGGTCCCGTGTACACGTGGTCGTACACATGAAACAATCGTTGGAATTCTAATTAAGAGTAGGCCCTAGTTCCACTACCCAGGCAAAAGGATACAAAATCGCACTGCACGCATTGTGACTAAAGCGAGATCAAAATTACGTCACTCCCGTCTTAAATAAAATCCGCGAGGGGATTAACTTTAAAATTTTTACTCTGACATACAAAATATTAAATAAAACAGCACCAAGATATCTTCAGAATCTCTTGACACACTACCAACGAAACAGGTCACTGAGTTGCGAGAGTAAATTATTGTTAGATGTACCGGTTAATAAGATGAAGCAATTTGGTTCAAGGACTTTTCAGTATAATGCATCAATTCTATGGAATTCACTGCCACCTTCTATTCGAAAATGTGAAACATTGTCTATCTTCAAGTGTAAAAACCTGGCTGTTAATTAGTCACTATAATTAACCCACGTGAACACTTTCGTGTGCCTAGAACATCCCCAAGTGGGATGAATGGATGCGCAATATAAATTTCATTATTTTTATTATTATTATTACCACCGAGGATATTTGAATCCCCGGCGAATGTTCAGCGACCATTCCATGGCCTTTCGGTGACACATTCGCGAATATTCAGCGACGGTTGAGAAGTACATTCTTTCTATGGCGCTGATTGGCTGGATTTTGCATAAAGCACATTTCATAGATCCCACTGGGCAGTGTCGGCCGCGGGGATGTTGACGAGCTTCCAGGTCGTCGCAAGCCACGTTGAACAATCGGGAGTCATCGCAGATGATTTTTCCCCATTGAGGCCACCTAGACATAATCTTTGAAGTTATTTTAGTAGATATTTACCTAATTCATGTCTATTTACTTTACAACCCTTCCACCTCTTCTTCAATTCTATACCGTAAAGTCAATAAAACTTAACTTGAAATGGGGGGCTTGGTAGAAGAAAGAGCGAATTACTGTAAAAAAGATTAACTACATTCATAAATTCAGCGGAGACGATTACTAGTCCCGGTTCTAATGTCGACCATTAGTGGTCGCGGGAACTTTTGCCCACTAGCGGAAGTCTGTTACAGACGTAACTCGTATCATTTTACCTCCTACACAAAAAAACATTAATGGATCGACAAAACTAACACATGAAGAAAATGTGTCAGTATTTATTGTCAAACTGGAAGATTTCAATTTTTTTATAAATTAACAGATTTTAAATCCTTTAAATTCATATCCATATGTATATATTAATTTGTGTTATGTGCACATATTTATATAATTTCATTTTTTATTTATTATTTTTTTTTTTGGGGGGGGGGGGGAGGGGGGCGTGTACGTTTGATCACACGGTCTGTCATTGAGTCAGCGTGGTTTCTAATCCCCGTTTGTACGTGACAAGGAGTAGGGTTGCCTGTCCAACCAACCTCGTAGGTTTTCTCCGGTTTCTTCCCGCTACAACCCCATTTCTCTCTGTCGCTATGCATTTTATTAATTTGCACTTTATTATTATATTATGTACTTTATTTGTAATCGTCGCGTGGACGTGAACACTTGCGTCCATGAGGACGTTAACCCTCATGCTTTTCATGGACATTCAATAGAACGTGAACATCATTAGGAACACTGTGCAGCGAGGCAGGTTGGAAGGGGTTTTCAATGAAATACGTCACGTGGGTCCAATATTTCAACTAGTATAAATAATGTACGCTTGGTACATTGCCCGTACGTCAACATCAAAGTATGAAGTCACATCTGTCAATGATGCAGGACCTGATAAGGCCAGCTGTCTAGTCGTTCGGATGGGACGAAAAACCGAGGTCCCGTGTAGACATTGGCGTGCACGTAAAAGATCCCATGGCAGTTGGAATTCGATATAAGAGTAGGCCGTAGCGCCGCTGCCCGGGCAAAATCTCCCTCATAGCTCACTGTATTGCGTATGCCCGTCTTCATTACGTATGCCCGTCTTCATTAGCCCAGGTTAGGACGTTAAACCCCATTTCATTTCATTTCTGTATTTAAAATCTGTTATTTATTAATATTAATATTTGCAGTTATGGGCTGTTATTTATCGTCTTTCTCTGCTTAACTTGACATTATAAAGCATAACTTATATTGCATGACTTGTATGATTTATAAGTGTTATAAAGACGAACATTATCTAAAACAATGTCTATATTTTTAAAACAGACATAAATCAAATCTGAAGACAATAAGACGTGTATGTTTTAATCTATAAATTATTTACATTAAATATTAAAAAATCATGAAAATGTGAGACAGTCTTTTATATATATTTAGTCCAGGAATTATTTACGCGTATTTAGGGTTTTTTTCTCTCAAAAACTATGAAAGAAATAATGACAGTGTTGTCACCAGGGTATGTAATTCATGACTTCCTTTCTTTGTATAGATACTAAAAAAGTGGTTACAGTGACCCAGGCCTTCAAGCAAAACACAACAAACAAACAAAGCAAAAAATCAGGTATGTTTCTTCGACCGTCGCAAAAACAAACATTATTTTGACCTGACTAGTGAGGGACAATCACTGAGAGGGATGACATCGGTGCGAGTTAATCGGCTCACTTTAAAGGCAACGCAATATCATCCACACGAATTATTTGTCAATTTAAATCAACATTGATGTTGTGATCTTACCCCGAAAAGGTGGTCTTCTGATATCCAATATTTAAGACAAAATAAACATGTTAACATTGGTACACGAATCGTGTACTATAATGCGTTTCAGCGCCATTTGTAACAAGGGTCTTGAAGAACGAGGCTAGACATATTCCAGAAGTCATGTCAAACGGTGACGTCATATTCTTATCTGGAGAGCATGCGCATTAAATCCTATGGTTGTAGACTGGAATAACCAGACGATAGATATTGCCATTCGATCGAGACTTCTGGCGTATTTCGCCGAACATAACTGATTTGAAATTGGAGTAAAAACAGAAACGATTGAATGTAAATCAGTTTATATACATTCATATTACATTATTATATGCTTTGCGACCCATTTGTGTCATTTTCAAGATCCCAAATAAAGTTCTAGAACATTTTTTTGAAGTATTAGAAAAAATAAATAAAGGTGCTTGAAGTATATCTGGATAAAAAAATTATTTCTTATTTATTGTAAATGGGTATATAAAATGGGTAAAAGGCACCATTCTGTCCGGACCAGTTTACATTACTACATCTTATGTAAACAATGTACGCGCTATCGAGCAAATGATCGACGCCGTGCGATGTGACGTCACGTGCAGAGGACATGTGGTTAAAATTCCAGTTTTCCATTAGAGGTTGAAAAACTCGCATCGTTTTGACAATGATATTAGTCTCCGGTTTATTGCCCTTTGTTTAAGGTTCACAACTAAAGGTCTGTTTCTCTTCTACTACTCGTTAATGTGTATGTAATTAAAACCCGTCCTGTATTTAAACATTGATAAGGTGTCCCCGATATGTCTATATTCTATTTAATTAAGTACCTATATGGGCATGCTGTTATTGCTATACAGAAGAGGTTTTATAGCTACCCATACGATTCGATCAAATCCCTGCCTGTGAATTATGAAGAGAGCTCAGTATATTAGCGACTGTGGTGAACTCAGGAATTGAAAAGATGACCCCAATCTGCCTGAGCGTTATGTTATTAAGACTAAGTAAGTTAATGTCCATTGCATTATTACTACAGAAGTAGTTTTATAGCCACACAGAATTTGATTAATCCAGCAGCCGTTATTCCACTCAAGGATATTTTCAATACATGACGTAGAACACATAATGTTGCAGCGCAGGTTGGATTTCTTAGACCATAATGATGAGAGAGAGAGAGATATGGGGTTTAACGTCCACCCGGCACAAGCTAGGTAATGTCGGGACTAACACATGGTTCAATTTTATTTCAATCATTCGCTTGCCCGTTGGGGCCATTAGCAGTGGGAGGAAACCGGAGGACCTGGAGAAAACCTACGATGTTGGACAGGTGACCCTACTCATTGTCACGTACAACCGGGGAATCGAAAACACGCCATCCCAGACAGCCACTCAGCTTTGGCCCTACTATGGCCCACATCTGGCAGCATCTGGCTAGATGTGGCCCATATCCAGCCAGATGTTGCCACATGTGGGCCATAGTCTGGGTAACACTTGGCAACTATTGGCTCACTACTGATGAATTAAACTTATTTTTGTAACTGGTATCTAAGAATATCTTGTCAGTTTGTTTAAAAGTTTTACATTTTTTGTTTTATATTCAAAACATATGAAAAAATAATATTATGCGAGAAGTTTGCCATATCTGGGCCAGAGATGGCCCACATCCAACTGGCCAAATGCCTCAAAATATCAACACAATAAATTTCGGCTCAGAATATGACATCTAGTTTCCAGTAGAATTTTCCTGTGTTCTATATTAATTTTATTACAGTCTTAAAATAATATTTTTTGAATGTACTGTATATAATATGAATGGAATCTTCTCAACCCACCCTCCCCAAAAAGCCAGTAAATGTAAATCTTTAAAGCAAAAATAATAAATTATTCTTGAAAGAAGTCAATGAAATAAAGACAAAGTTTATTCGAACACAGCCTGAGTGTTGGGTATCATGCTACAAAGTACATGTAGTTAGATTTTAATTACTATAGCAGATTCTATACTCAGATTATACAATTTGTTGAAGCTAGCAGGTCAACCATGTAAATCTTTCAACAAAGCATAATGAACAGCCCATTTACTATCTTGAAATCTGTTTGGTCATTGGCTGAATTTAAAATTGTAAAATTCAGTGTAAAACAACTTAATAGAATTTAGTACTAAAAAGAAACTGAAGACATTGCAGTGGTACACAACTGTGCATTATTTCCACAGAACTTAGTTAAAAGATAAAAAAGATAAGTACATTTTATTACTTTCTCTACAATAATATTAAATTAGATAAGATTTATGTGATTTCATTATTTAAATAAGTTCATTTAACTATTCTTTTGCCTTGGCAAATAAGAATTATTTGACTTAATACTTTGGTACTTGCATTGACAGACCCCTAGGCCATGCTTGATATAAGAAGGAAAAACATGTTTTTTTAAGTACATTTTTTTGCATTTATTGCAGGTGTGATAAATAACTTCACCACAAGGATGCAATGGAAAATAATTTCAAAAATATTGTAAAAAAACTGGTTGAATGGAGGAAGAACAAAAACAAGGGGAAGAGGAGGAGGAGACAGCTGCAGGAACAAGGGGAGAATGATATTGACATGGATAATTTATATGCCTTATAACGACCAGTGAATTCTTGTTGAAGCGTCGTGTGTATATAATATAGTGATTGTTATCCATAGAACTGTGTTGTGTTATATGGATGAATAAATTTTATAATTGAAGATTTTGCTTTTGTTGTAAATGTATGTTGTTTGTGCTGCATGCAAGATATCCTTAATTTCTACTATCTGGAGTACGAAATGGAATTGGGAAGAAAGTCATGGCTGGATAGACTTTAAGAAGGGGCGATAAAGAGAAAAATGGATTGTAACGTCCATTTGACACAAACTAGGTCATTTTGGGACTAACATATGGTTCAACCCTATTTCAATAATTTGCTTGTGTGTAGGGTTCTTTAGCAGTGGGAGGAAAGGACTCCAAGAAAATCGACGAGGTTGGACAGATGACCTTACTCCTATCACGTACAAGCGAGCATTCAAAACCATGCCACTTGACTCATTGACAGACCTTATAATTTCAAGTGTACGCGATAAACCACTAGACTATAGGAGCTTTTACGGGTTTCCATTTTGACGTCATTTTCGGTCATGCGCAGACATTGGCCTTATTCTTAGACTGAAACCCATAGGCCAGTGTGTGTTTTTTTGTGAAAATACCGTCGTACAGTAAGCTTCTTTTACATAAAATGGAACTGAATGCCATTTCTATATACGCTTAAGGTTTACCGACCGATGGCAGAAAGCGATATTTACAAAAACTTCGATATAGGAAAGATACGGCAAGTTTACCAGACCCGTAATTGGCCGTTTGCAATTGAAACAAGTGGATGACTGATCCGTGCTCAATCGCCCGAACTAAAATTAAGTGAAGTTTATTACGCATTTTACGGTCAAACAGATGTTATATATTAATTACGGGACTATTAACACAAAAGATTTTTAAAAATGGTCTATCCTATTTACATTCAACTGCCGACTGGACAGTTCTTTGCGAGGTTGATATATCGTCTGCTATAGCACTGCATGCCACGACCCTACGTACTCGACACAAAACACGGTACTATGTTGGTCTTTGTTTGAGGCTGTCGACTTGAAAATAATTCCAGCAATAATACTATAAATAGTATGCAATATGCAAATAAGATTGTTTATGCATGCGTGCTGTTAGCCAATAGCTATTGTAAATTTCCCCGCGTTTAGACGGCTCTTACCAATGATAAAATAGTTGTTTGGTGCACGGGGTAAAACTTCAGCCATTTTTATAAATTTTTCTCTTGATTGATGGGATATGACTAACAGAAAGAATAAAACGACGATCAAGTTGAATCTGTGAATATTTTTTAAAACCGTTTTTTTTCTGTTAATTGTAGTCACATAAATCGTCTTGGCTCAGCTTTTGGCACTCAGTGAAATTTTAATCCAATCAGTTTATCTTGCCGCAACCAAGAAGAAGAACGATACATCTATGTCCATTTTATCAATTTCTAATTCAGTATTTGGTTCAGAGAACAACTGTTGAATGAAAATATGTAACTGGACTCGGTGCATTCTATACATCGTGATTATTATTTGTTCTCTTTTTTATTAGATGTGCTACGGTCGTGCTTAAATTTTAATATCGTCTTGAATAATTCTTTTGTGGAACCGCAGGTCACCATCTCTAATTACTACCCATTCTATAATTTACTCTTATGCTCTATTTCATGGCATTTTACAACCAAACAGATGTTATCTATTAATTGTTTGCAGTAAAATTAAAACAAAACATATAAATCGGCTTCATACGGCAATGCATCTTTGTAATGCTTTTGCGTACTGCGGTCAACTGGGCCGTGTGCGAGCTTGACATATATCGTCTGCTACAACACAGTATATCGTCATTAAAACAAAAAAATAATAACTTAGACATGATTTGAAATCGGTAATTTATTACGAATGCTACACGCAACTTAAAACAAGAGTGGCATTAAAGAATACGTTTTCTATAAAGAGAAAAAGAGGGAAAATCCCGCTTTCCCTAGCATTTACCATGTTAAGATACGGATAGAAAAAGGCAAGGCTAAAAATAGACACCGGAAGTACGTCACGCGTAAAAGCTCCTATCCAACCTCTGACTTTAAGAACAGATAGGACAGGGATTAACCGTATGTTTTCAGGTTGCCATCTTTGGCCCACATCTGGCATGGCATGATTTTCACGTGTGGGACATATTTGGGCCAGGTATGGGCCAGTTGTGCCATCTCTGGCCCACATGTGGCCCAGCTGTGGCATGCCATATCCGTCCCAATCATTTTGCCAGATGTTGCCAGATATGGGCCGTGTCTGGGCCAAATATGATGTGTTGTCTGGGCATTTGACTCAATTACGGACCGTATGTGTAGCATCATGGGTTGTCTGTCAGACTTGGAGAGCGGACGACGGTAAAAACCGGTCAACACATACGGCGTATTACCCATGTATCGTTTCTTACTACATATTTTGGAACAATCCTTGATCGTTTAGTATTGTCTCTGGTTGCATTTGTAATTATTTAACTGGTTAGGACGTATCTTTAAATGTCATTCTGACATTCCACATTAATGATGACTTCATATTGTGATTGAATATAATGCATCTTAAATAGTATTAACAAACAAGATGACAGGAACAAACGACAGGTTTCTACAGTTTTATATCAAGCTGGTTACATAATTACAAACATGGGTTATAATAAAGTCATTATCTCTATCTATCGATCCAGATGTTGTCCCTTGAACCTCAATGGTCTCTCCTAACAAATTTCTACATGATGTTTCCTCTCTCAAATCTTCATGATGTCTACCCTAAAAAGCCCATTCTATAAATTATATACTCTCAAATTCACAGCCATTAATTATTCTATTGGCTAATTATGATGTAATTAATCATGTGATTGGTTACCCATGCCAAATATGAAATGGTAATGGGACGAAAAACCGAGGTCCCGTGTACACATTGGCGTGCACGTAAAAGATCCCTTGGCAGTTGGAATTCGATATACGAGTAGGCCGTAGTGCCGCTGTCCGGGCAAAATTTCCCTCATTGCACACTGTATGGCGTATGCCCGTCTTCATTAGCCCAGGTTAGGAGCAGAACAGTAGGACGTTAAACTCCATTTCATTTCATTTCATGAAATGGTAACTTTCCGATCACGTGATTTTAGACATAGAATCCATCCTTGAACTTAGGCCTCCTTTCCTGTTATTCTCACAATATTTTATAAAAAAATTAATTTGCATTTTAATAGCTAATATTTTGACAATTAATTAGCTAATAATTAATCAAGGCCATAATATTATTTTATAATACTGATTTACATATGTGTTCTTTTGCACAAATCTCGTCATTCATATTACTACATATGATGCAACGCGCACGCGCTAACTATTCGGACATCCAACACCCCAGTTTTCGATGACCGGGACCTTGTGGTTAGTAAAACAACGTTTGATCATGCCCTAATAAAATGAAATGAAATGAAATGGGGTTTAACGTCCCACTGTTCTGCTTCGATACTGGGCTAATGAGATGGACAAACGAAATACCATCGGCCAATTAACGTAGCTTTAACAGCAAGTATTTTGGAAGATAATCGACCAGAAAATACGATCATTTCTGACATCAAAAGGGTAATTGTTATAAATTACGAATGGTTCTTTCCTTAACGTGCTCTGTCAATATGTCTTAGTTGTATCCTAAAGGACTATAACAGGAATAAGGCTTAACGTGGGGGGAGGGGGGGCGAATGGTTAGCACGTACGCGCTGTATCATAATGGCTATCATTGAGTCAACTGGCGTGGTTTCGATTTCCCGGTTGTGCGTAACAACGTTTAAGGTCGCCTGTACAACCCCGTGGGTGTTCTGCGGGTCCTCCGATTTTCTCCCACTATTAAAGACCCCTTACGTGCAAGCAAATTATTGAAATAAAATTGAACCATGTGTCGAGTGGACGTTAACCTCTCTCTCTCTCTCTCTCTCTCTCTCTCTCTCTCAGAGTTAACGGGTGTGGAAAAGGGTCTAGTTCTTATCTGTTCAAGTGAAGCGGTAAATTCGTTCAGTGTAGAAATCTCATTTCCCAGATTCAAAGAACTAATTCCTGATTATAACTCACCCTTTTCATCCCTTTGCTGTCATTAAAAACGTCACGAATTTTACGGTCTGTAATTTTCTGAATCGTTTGTGAAAACAATTTTGAGCTTATCGAATGTAAGTCAGATAATCTGTGTCTTTCGGTACAGTCTTTGTTGTTTCTCTATTGAACGGTTTTACCCGGGGTATGTAAATTCTAACCATTTCAAGTAGATTTCTATATAAATATTGTTTACCAGGGGGGAATACAGTATAGAATGCCTTAAAAAACAAGAGGAAGTGAAAGGTGTTTCTAACAAACGGTAAACTCACTGACCCCGTTTCGATCTCCCTTATTAAAAATATGCATTGTAACGGGAATTTGCAAGTTTACAACCATTGTTATTTTCGTATTTAAAGATACAAGAGCTGACCATTCTTGCTATAATAGTTCAAAAATAGATAATGTAAAATGAAAATATTGACAAGTTCATTCAAATTACTTCATTCTGAGCCAAGTTATCACTGTTTGTAGTTTTGACAAGATGTGTGAATTGGGGTAACCACGGCACTGGTGTATTCGAGACTTAGCCTGATTTTCCAATTTTTAAATTAAATTTTTTAATGGCGAACCGTTCTAATCTAGTTAAAATCTCTAGTATCCGATGTCATCGAGAGTTGATTATGGTCTTGTTTTGTTAATAAAATGTCTAATTAATAATTTACATAACATTGCAGGCCTAATGAAAGACCTGCAATAGACAGATTTAGCTCTTGAATAATGTAATGTATGTTTAATTATGAAATAGAATAAAATGTAGTTTGATTTTATTTATTTTATTTTATTTTTTGTTTTTGTTTTGTCTTTCAGGTGAGAGAAATGGACGAACGACGAGTTATAATGAGATACCACGTAGTAATCTTTTACGAAAAGCAAAAAGGAAGTCACTACGCATGTCTATTGTTATCGTCCTCGTTTTCATCATCTGCTGGACGCCATATTACGTCATTTTCATCTGTCTCACGTTTTCTGATCGAGAAGAAATTCATCCGGAGATTTACACGTTTTTAATGTGCTTCTTCTTCGTGGGAATGAGCAATGCCATGTTGAATCCACTCATATATGGAGCCTTCCAGATTTGCAAGGTGCATACACCCAGGTTAGTTCAACTTAAGGCATTTCGAAATTACACCGTTTATCTAAAAATAAATTTTACTTTCGTTTTACAACAAGAAACTCACAAACAAGTAAAGCTTGGAAAGATCTTTATATCAATAAATATAGCATAGAGCAATGGCACTATATTTAGATTGGTTATCTAAATACGGTTGTTTTGGCTCAAAATAATTGGAACTTTTAAAGTCGCGTAAACAAGAAATGTTTCTATAAGGAAACATGTAGCCAAATTGAGAAATCGACATTAAGAAATACAGCACGATTTCTCGCCATGTAAATCTGAACTAGGAACTTAAAGGCTCAATACCACTCTTGTTGTAACTGAATAATATGTCCCAATCTTTATTCTGGTCAACAAATTGTACTATTTTACAATATTCCAATTAATTGATGATACAAATTTCATCTTAACACACCTAATTTAAAAAATTGGAAAAATTCAACTAAATGATTTGAAAAGCCTGACGTAAAGCTTTTCAAATGTTACTTGGATTTAAAAATATTTTGAACCCTCTGGACAAGTAAAATAGGATTTAATGGATAATTTACACAACAGGTAGGACACTAACACATCTAGTACTTAGAATAAGCATTTTTTTATTTTCTGGAGCTGTCCCTTTAATTAAAATGGCCTCGAAAACATTCGAATGTTGTTAAAACTATTTCTGACAAAACGAAGATGATACTGGAAGGCGACTGCACGAGGACATGCCTGAAAAATTATTTACGAGGCAAGTTCACTCAGGTCGCTCATCGAGTTATTATGTCAGACAAAGCCGTGCAATTACAGCATACTTGAAAGTGAAGATATTAACTTGAAGAGACGTTGGGTCGCGGAGAACATATTACATCCAATTGGTCTCGTGGTATTACACGGTCTAAAGTAGCCGCGGTCTTCATTGTGATCCGGAATAACAAAAGCGAAGTGTTTATGACCGCAAATTGTGAAATTGTTTTCTTCATGTTAGATTGGGCGTCTATACTTTCCATATATACTAAAATTGCCTTATTTTTATTGGAAATAATTTCCCGATAAATACTTTCCTAAGAATGTATCTTTAATCTATTATTTTAAAACATGTTTATAGAGAATATTTATTTTACCAAAATAAATAATTAAAACCACGGCATCGTAGGGTTTAAGTTCAGTATGTTGATCACCTTGGTATCCCATACAGCCTGTCGGTTTACGTTTTGCAGAGCTCGAGAGACTTCACCTTGAGTTATAAGATTGGTCGTACACTGATAATGTAGTTTTAACAAACTTGGACTGGTGAAATGGCGTGATTCGCCTGACGGGCCTCGAACTTAACAAAGTTAGCTAACCAATTGCAAAATACTACATGACCGACAAAGTTATTTGAAATGATATGATTTGTTTTATGGAATAAGAATCTATATTTGTAAAAAAAATAATCCACTGTCGACGACAGATTAATCCAAAAATAAAACTTATATTATTACAAAAATAGTCGACTTTCTTGTGATCTTTCAAAAATATATTTTAATATAGAACTTCCCCGTCACTATGATCAAACTAATACACCAGGCTTAAAATACTTTAATTTGACGTAAAGCAAGTAGGCTAACTTTCCGCAAGTCGTGACAAAGAGGCGGACATAAATCTCTCCCAATCACACTTTGGTCTTGGAAGCTTCCGGTCTTGTTTTTTTAGATGTTTAAGACGACACGTGACCTGGCCATAAAAGAACATGATTATTAGATTAATATCCGACTGGAGGGTTTTATAAATATAGCTTTACATACTATTTAAGTATTCTGTTTGGCTATTTTATCATGACTGGGTCACGGAAGTTTTAAAGACGACAAACAGTAAACAGGAGCCAGGATTTCTAATGTAGACACTTTTCTGTTTGTTTAAAGTTCGCTCCTATAAATAAATTTAACTAAGCTAGTATGTTTCATAATATTTTTATTATTATCAAGCTATAAAAGGGTGAAAAAACATGTCTGTTGAAATTCAATAAACAAAAATCACCTTATTGCGTATATTAAATCGCAATAACAAGTTGTTTTTAAACGTATTTGTTAGATAAATAATAAGTTAAAAGATTGAAACACGAGAGTATTAAACATCGCGCTATATTAATCAAAAGCCGGTCGAACATCCGACAACTTGTCTATAACATGTCTATAGGTTAGGGGGGGGGGGGGTAACGTCCACTTAACAGAAACTAGGTCATTTCGGAACTAACATATGGTTCAATTTTATTTCAATAATTCGCTTGCCCGTAGGGGTCTTTAACAGTAGGAGGAAACCGGAGGACGCGGAGAAAACCCACGAGTTTGGACAGGCGACCCTACTTCTTGTCACTAACAACCGCTAACCGAAACCACGCCTCTTGACTCAATGACAGGCCTTATGATATTTACGGGAATCAGGCACGATCTTGGGACAAGTATCATCTTATTATGTTTAGCTGTTTTGTATATCATCTATTGAAGGTCGTGAATTCGACCCCACATTTATGGCCGCCAAGGAGTTGGGTCGCGTCAAAGTTCTAAAGATATTGGCGTACACATGAAATATTGAAATAAAAGAAGAAATCCCGAAATTACCTACTTAGGGTCTGGTTGCCAAAAGCGTTGCGCTACGAATCTGGGCTCTGTCGCCAATCCTATGTTGGTTTCCATGCCACAATTGCATGTAACACGAAATATGGCACCCTTTTTTAATCACATAGTATTTGGTAAGATTCTCCGCTATCGTTCAATTCGGCAGACACGCGAGTTCTTATAATTTACATGATATGGAAGGTCTGAGTTAAAATACCCATTGCCATGCATACGTTAATCTCATCATTTCTGGCTGTACTTTATCTTCTTTATGACTAGTGTCAGTTCTAAAATCGCGAACCAATCCTTTTTTATAATCCTATCAATGGTTAAGGTTTTTTCTATATTAGTTCCGTTTTATTTTTTATTAGAAACCTGTAATTTACAGAGACACAAAGCTATTGTTTGTGAGTTTCTTGTTGTTGACTGTATGGGTGGGGTGGGATGTGTATCCAGTAGGTTTTTACCATTTCGAATCTTAAATTACAATATTGATATATTACAGCATATTGCATACGTTTTTTATATATATTTTATTTACTGTTAAGTCTTTTACCTTTTCTGCTCGTTTTTCTTGTACATTAAACTAGTTCTTATTAACACACTTTCTTCAATCGAACTACACATCCGCTTAATTATACCACTGATTGACCCAAGAATGTTGTTAAATCATTAATTAATTTATTAGGCCGTTACTCTAAAACACATTGGGAGTGGATGTTGGCATTTTCTCGCTGACTAATAATACCAACATTTAACATTCTGGCACGACCAGTAATTGCTTATCTTTATAATTGTTAATCGAATGAATTCTGTAATATTCGTCATGCTAACGCGTCATGTCATTCTGAAGTTAAAAGTATTGACCTGTTTAGCCGCAGGGGATTACATTGTTAAAAATATTGACCTATTTAGCCTCAGGGAATACATCGTTAAAAGTATTGACCTGTTTAGCCTCAGGGGGAATACATCGTTAAACGAAAGAAATAATAAACAAAACAGTTACACTGTATTTCTGTCATAAATGTCAAATTTTAAATGTTATGATTTATGAAGTTAAATAAGAATAATTGACATATTTAGCCTAGGGAAATACATATTTAAAATACACAAAATAGTCAACTTTTAAAAATGTTATGATTTATCATTACACATCTGTACAATAAACAAACAAAAACAGCAAAACTGCATTTCTAGAGGAAATGTCAAATTTTAATATGATTTATGGACATAAGTTGGGAACATTTATTAAAATAGTTTTTTCTTTATTTATTTATTTAAATCAGAATTTATTTATGCGAAAGAATTGCATTATGGTGGTAATTCATGTTGTCCTTTGTTGTCATAATGTATTCGTTTAATTGCTTTTATGGATTCTGACAAGACATCTACACATTATAATCTACATTATTAATTTTTTTCTTTTTTTTCGTTTTTGATGCTACTAACATGCACACGTCTTTGAGCATTTTGTGTTCAATTGAGATGTTGGATGTAAAGTGGTTTTCAGTTATACTAACAGCTAGAGCTCCTTGAATTGCTTAAGACAAAAACTAAAAGTATCTAAATGATTAAGTTTAACGTTTTGATTAGATTCGTGATGTGTTTATTAATCAGTGTACTTCTACAAATGGAGCCAAGGTTGCGATTTAACTGATTTCGTTTTTCATCTTTGACGGTTTAAGCTAAAACACGAAAATAATATTAGTAACTAAATCGAGTTCCGCTTAATATTTCGAAACGAAATTATAATCGCATAGATATTGACCCATTCAAATTCAACATCTTTTTAAACATAAATCAAAGGAGTCGAGCTCCTTTAAATGAAAAAGGTTATGCAACTTATAAAGACGACATACAAAAAAGACAATCTGGTATCAGACAGAAATAATTGTGACAAAAAAATAATAACAGTCAATTCTTTTTATGAATTGTTAGTTTCGAACATATATCCTCTCACGGGCTAATATTATAACTTTTCGTCTTCAAAGAAATTATCAGTGAGCTGAAATTCTACCGTGTATCTGTTGCCGTTCTCCACGTCAGTCATTTATATGTAAGGATTACTCGTGATTTCCTTTTGCTTGCGTCACTTCCCGTTTATTCAAATGTTCGTTACGCATCTACCGTAGCAATGAACTCTGTGCTAATATTATAATATTTGGAATGTGTTTAACCAGTTCTATCACATATGTAATATAGGCTGCACCAACATTGTCCTTTAAGAATGAGTGTGAGCATACAAGAAACTCCGAGGTGCATAAAGGTGTGTGTGTGTGTGTGTGTGTGAGAGAGAGAGAGAGAGAGAGAGAGAGAGAGAGAGAGATGGGGTTTAACATTGGCCGAGAAAGTTCGTCCAGATTTTCCGGATTGGTTTCCTGTGTCATTTGTGTAGGACGGATGACC